TCCTGCGTTTGCTAATCAAGAACTAGGACTCTCCGCTTAATGCACCCGCCGCCTATTGAGCCCAATTTGGTCTGGGCCCGAGGTGGGGTTAATATCCGGCGACTACTGTATTAGTGAACATATGTTTTGATTTTGCCTGCAAATTGTCCTTGCATAATAAATGGCTAAATTAGTAAACAATTTTAAGTCTTTCTTGTCGACATGCACAAATTAGGCATTTCAATCTAAGTCACTTTAAGTCTTCTGACTAATTCGATCTTCCTTCGTTGAGATTGCTCCATCTGTGTGCAATATTGCTTCATCAAGGGTAACCACGCATAAAGGCACTATTTTAACAAAGGCCATATAAATGTTCCGTATAGGCGACCAATAATCGCCTCGTCAAAAAAAGGAAGTATATGCTTATCACTCCTAGGATGCACACAGGCTTGTTTTCAACTTTGGCGCAGTGCGTGGATGATGTGAGAGTGGACGTAATACACACACCTAGATTCCTTAGCTTGTTTGCTTGCTCGAGTTAGTGACCTTCGATCGAGTATTCATGTTCAAATCGTAACTCTACCGTAGTCGGAAGACTTGGCATTTGTTAAAATTAAGGTTAAGTTGCCATTCATCACACTACTTGTGCAACCGATCCAAGTTAAATTATATAGTCTGCGCATCCTCCGAACTTTCGATTGAATTCCATCACTGACATTCCTCGCTCCCATGTGGTTCACTCAGAAACAGAATGGGACCAATAAGGCCTCCTGCGCAACCCCGTTGTAAAGGGTTTTCCATTACGATTTGGCCTCAAATACAAACACACTGACTGCTCTCTGTAAGAAAATCGGCTAACTATTTGAATGGGTTGTAAGTCATATCCATTTGATACAGCTTCGTTCCCAGTAGGCTTTGTGGAACCCTATCGAAGGCTTTGCTAGAACCCCTCGAATCTGACTGCATCTAGCATCTGCTCAGGTGTATCTATGTTATACATTATATATATTTTATATTTATATCTATGCATCCATATTTGCTTCTATATCTCGTAGAAATCAGTAATTGATATAATGTTTCCAATGCAATCTGTAGCATATGCATAGTTTGTCTGAATTCAGCCGTATTGCACGAATTAATCGCCGATCTGTACGAACTCTTTGCACACCGAAATCAATTTCATTTCTGATTATCTTCCATATTAAGCAAATATGAATTCTATAAGCTTCTATGCCTCCCACATGCCTTATAATTAACGGAAATGAACAATCATGAAAAGGAAAGCCTTGGCAAGGTGGGTCAAGGTTACGATTTATTAATGACCTTCACAATTTTTCAAATATAAGGATGTTTTGTCGCAGAGGTTTAATATTATTATTAATGTTATAAGATGAGTAAACTTCAGCTTTGAAATTTCTTGAGATTCAGTTTTGCTCGTTTGTTGAATTTTGACGCACCGTTTATACAGCCATCAACACTGGTCTTGAATCACAATTTGGTTCTGGCCAAAAGATTTTATAGAACTAGCAGTATAAATTCAGAAAAATCATCCGATGAACCACGTCCGTACCACAAAAACGGAGATTCTCAGGGCTCTGGCCTTTTTACACCGCTGACTGAAGCCCACGTCCACAAACCAAAGACAAAAATTTCAGTTATCGGATCGGGGTCTGTCGGAACTGCAATAGCTGTCAGTGTTATGACCAAGGTATAACTTTTAAATTTTCTAACCAATTAATAGTCTATTTCGGATGCTTTGGTAGTCATTGACTGTGAAGAAAAAAGGGTTGCTGGTGAAGTTTTAGATTTGCAACAGTGTTCTCAATTTGTTGACCATTGTCTTGTATCTGGTGGAAAAGGTAAGTTCACCCAACACTTTTTACTATACTTCCAGGTTATTCCTACACGAACGACTCGGATGTCGTTTTTATCACGGCAGGCGCAAGACAACGGGAAGGCGAATCCCGCCTGAATCTCATTCAAAGAAATCTGAACATTTTTAAATGTTAGTTATGCTCAAAATGCAGTATCCATAGACACATACGTTAAGAATTCCGTAATGTGTAGAAAACAAATTGGCCAAACACTTCTTACAATAGCAAAACGTTTTTCAACGGGTTTTCACTTACATATCTTGAAAATACTAAATTACATTTTGCAGTGGCGGCATACTGTTCATTTTCTTTTCTTTATTTCGGATCAGGTGTCGTCCCAGAAGTTGTACAGCACAGTCCAAACTGCACCCTTGTCGTAGTTTCTAACCCAGGCGAGTTCTATTAGTCAACACTTTTTTAACATGCCGATCGAAACGACTATTTTTCTTACAATTTTCTAAAAAAATATTCTATTAGAAATAGTTCCGAATGCTCCATTAAATTTCCCATAGAAACACAGCTGCATACCATATAAAAGCATTGATTATACACCGAAATTTTAGAGAATTTAATAAGCGAACCGTGCAAAATAAAAAATTACTGAAAGACAGCACTTGAGGAGCAGACAGACGAGTCTATTAAAACCAAAGAATAAAACTATCATGTAATAAACGTGGGCAATATCATATCTTTCATCAAAATTTTGAAGGGAATGATTAAAAAATAAGCATATAAGGTAGTTGCAACCGAATACGTGTTCTATATATTCAGTTTTATTCACCGGCGTTTTGAACTCCCTCGAGAGCTCAAAGACAAAAGGTTAGGATACGCCTCGAATATTATAGTTACCACGAATAGAAGCGAATATGCGTGCCCCAGGTTCTTGTTATAAAGAAGAAGAAAACGCGATCGTTGGAATGATAGATTTGTTCTGAGCTTTCGACTCCACACGAAAGGCCATTTTCAGAGAAAATGAGAAAACAGCAAGCGTTGGCTACCAACCCCATTTACGCATAGCCAACGCTTGCTGTTTTATCAATTTTCTGACGATAGTTTCTCGTGTGGAGCCGAAAGCTCAGAATAAAACTATCATTCCAGAGATCGCGTCTTCATTTCCTTTATTTACGCTACCGTTGCTAAGCATAATTCACAGAGCTATCATCGATTTGCTCGCGCAAAATCTGAAATACCGCTGACAGATCACTGAGTCTTATATTCAAGGACATACTGGACGCCTTATCCGTTCAATTGACCGAATCGTTGTCCTATTGAGGTCGAGCAAGAGCCAGGAATTAAGTTTTTCTTCTTCTTTTATAGCCTGGCCTTCTTCGTTTCTTACCACTTTAACTAAGAACCTATTATGGGATAATCATATTTGATTCGACGGATCACCTCACATTTGCATTGGTAGGCACTTTTTCCTAGGATGTTCGATCTGTTAGCTCATATAAACTGCCCTTTCTGCTGCTGCCTCTTGAAACGGCTTAAATGTCCAAAAGAATAGGACAGATTAAAGCACACAGATTATTTTATAGAAATAAAATAAATAAGCTCATTAAATCAAAAGATATCACAACATATTGACCATATGAACAATCTTTGAACACTTCATTACTATTTACTATAATTATATTTGGAATGTCTAGAGCATACGACTTGTACCTCCAGATTATTGTCTACTTACTTAGGCAGTATTTAAGTGAGTAAATTTACTGCCATTTTAATATTGTTTAACGAAGTTAGAGATACAGTGCGTAAATGATATAGTGTCATCAGCGATAGAGATAAGATTCACAAATTCTTACTGCATCTGATCTTGATTATTCCATACAACTAATTTATGATGAAAGGTTCAAAGGCCGTCGGCGCTGTATCTTGACGTGAGCAACTGCATTTAAATGATGAAGAATTTGCAACGTTTCGTACACATTATAGTGATATTCGACAAAAGGGCCGCGGATAAGTTTACTCGAAACTTCTAAACACCTAACAGATATCCAATATATATTTTTGGACAAAGAAACGAAGATTCGGGAGTAGAAATCAAAGGTCGGAAGTTCAAATGAAGATCTAGTGACCGTATGCTATGTTTCTTTTATCTTCATAGAAAACAATAGTC